CTCCAGCCTCTGGGAATGTCTTTGTCACAAATGGCTCAGCTCCACCACCTCCAGCTCTGCTTAGACTCACTGCGAAGAAGAAATGTATAAACCACAGTTTCACTTTTCCTCCCCCTCTCTGGGCTCTACATGCAGATTATGTTTATACAGTAATCTCTCTTCTCTGTACAAAAAGCAAAGATGGAATTGCGGGATTACAGCTCCTTGCCTGGCCCCTATTACCTTCATCCCATTGACACTATCAAATATAATGAATTTGGCAAAAAAACGTCAAATACAAAGCTGTACTCCTTCAGAATAAGCCCTTAGAGATCTGAAAATCTCCTTCACATGGAAGACTTCTGCCAAGAATGTCATTTACTAATACAACCAAGATAAAACAGCATTGGAAGAGGTAGAATTAGTGCTTAAATTGACTAACTAATCTCCTCTGAGATAGACACCAAGGAAGAGATGTTTACCTGTTCCAACAGTTAAAACATCTGCTGCACAAGAGGAGCTGATATTATTACTTCTCATTCAGTTCCTGCTGCACTACACCCTTGGTGCTCTTCAGGTTGAAACCCAAGTTAGAGACTTGTGCTCTTGCGGAGAACCAGGGGTAGCCAACTTTCATGTCTGCTGTCTTTGTGGCCTGTTTTAAGGCTTATAAGGGCACTGACACCTTCTAGCACATTTACAGGAGCACAACACTGGCATGCTAAAATGATGAATTCACATCAACTTGCTTTTTAAAATGCAGGCAGCAAAATAATAAAAAAGTCATCTCTAAAAAAAGGGTAATTATTAAAAATACTAACTTAACTGGAAGCAATGTAAAAGGTAGGTTTTACACCTGTCAATCCCAGAGAAAAATTAACAGATAATCAGAATATTCTTTTTTTTCTCCATTCCTCTGGAGGCAGAAGGATCTAATCTCCTATAAAATCTACAAATAGAGGTGAGTATTTTAATGGTAATCTGCCAAGGCTCATGTGAAAAAAGTTAAAAATATACATCTATTTTTTTCAAATAAATAATCCTTGCACTAAACTGCTAAAAATACTTCTCAAACATTTAGACGCATTTTGTCTCTGCCTCCTGATATTCTCTAGGCTAAAACATTTTGATACAGTTCAGAACAAAAATTTTAGAGCCATCTGACAGACAAACGCAGATTTACAATCCAGAGAAAATGGAAGATAGCCCTAAATTGCTAGCTCCTGGAAGGGAAACAGAGGCAATGAGTAGAGCTATTTTTAAAACTTATTTCCTTGGTAAAGACAATCTTGTTGCATTTCTGGAGACCAAAATACAACACCTGGAACACCCTTGAAGAAAGGAACCTCCTCTTCCCCACAGCCCTCACTGTACTCCCCGTTAGCAGCTGATCTGCAGCAGGAGTGGATGGAAAGGCAGCGGCACTAACTTTCACCTCTTGTGTCCCAGTAACATTTAAAAATAAGGGAATGGAAAGTTGGAGGAAGCTTTCTTCAGAATACTCCAGGTGTCAACACACAACAGTTACCTAGTGCAACAGTATCCACTATGTATACAGAACCTCTCAGACAGGACAAAATAGCTACTGAAAAATTTTGTTTCTCAGGGAGTTCTTACAGCTGCTTGTAGCTGTGCGTAAGGTTAGTCTATTAAAACTAAGAAAGATTCACCTTGCACACAAGCCAACCAGCAAAGGGACCTTCCATTCATAGCAGCATGAACTCATCCTCCAAGCAAAACCACAAGAATAAAAACACAAAATGCCTTAAGGAGGGCTGAATGAGTGGCATGCACAGGCTGGAATAAACCCACTATCATTTCAACCTGACAAAGCCTCAGACAACTGGCGCAGGTGGCCGCACGCATGCTCTGCGAAGGACATACGACTTACTTCAGAATCCTGCAAAAATCCACTCGCCTGCCCCTAAGCAAAGGAGGAAAGAAAGAAGGTACAGACGCAGCAGAAGGGGTCACCCTTCTCAAAATACTTACTGATAACTCCGGCAGCACTCGCGAGCCAAGAATTTCATGATTCTTGTTTTAGAGAAGTTTCTCACTTCAGCTAAGGTTCCTTTCCAAAGGACTAATGCTCACCGCTAATAAAACGGAAAAGTGACTTCACAAAGTTACCAGATATCAACATGCAAGGCTGGCGAGTACATGTGCAGTCAAGATGATTCAGATAAGTCAGATAAATTTAGAACAACGCTTTCCTAAAAGCATGCGTTCACCAAATGCAGAGCACACGCAGGAGCTATATTCCGAGAGCTGATTCCAAACATCAGAACAGAAAATTTATTAGTGAAAATCTCCTTTTAAGAGTTCGCTGCCATCTGAAGTCCTCGACAATGTTACTCTTCGATCTGCCTTTAGTACTTCCATCCATCACTGGATTTATCCACATAAAAAGCTATAGGCTCTCCAACCTCGGAGGACTAAGCCAAATGCAGTGTGGCAACTTCGCATAGGACCGGCCTTTTATGGTTGGAACAGTAGAGCTTTGATACAGCTAATCTACCATAAATAGCTCTTGAAACTCAGAAGGATCAAATCAGCTGTTGCAACAGTCCCAGCCTGTAGCTGCTTCAAATCCAATTATACTGTCAGCTCTGTCCTGCAGCTTTCCTTTTTATTCCCCCATCCACAACTTTTAAAGTCCCACTCCTACAAGAAATTAAATGCTGCAGGGACAAATGCGACAGAATAAAACGTGTTTCATAAAAACAGAAACAAGCATGTATTTTTAAAGTTCTCTTAAGGAGAAAAGGTTTTGCTGTGTTAAAAACATCTTGAGCATTTAATGCCAGTAATTTTTTAAATCAGCCCTGACTCGTAATGCAAACATACAATCTGAAATAAGCAAACAGTCCCAAGAACAGTCGGCTCAGCCTTAAAAGGTGGGTAAAAATAAGCAGATAAAACTTCATGGTGTGCTATCCATGGCCCAGATTAAGGTACTGAATTGCTTGCATATTTTTATTGTAACTTAAACACAAATGCAAAGCACTAGAACTCACAGTTAAATCCTTATATTATAATGTTTCCTTTCTAGCACTTTGAACCATTTGCCCACCAAGCAGCTCAGGACTATAATTTCAGAACTCTTCAATACCTGGGAGCTTCCAAAATGAGCTCTTGCTAACAATGTAAGTCAACAGAACCATGAAAAACACCCCAAGGGCTGCCAGAGCCCTGCGACCCCGAGCGCTCAGTGAAAGGAGATACCCTTTGGAGCCAGGGGAGCGCAGATGAGCGGCGTTATCTTTATGGTTCACTTCACAGTGCAAAGCAGCAGCACACAAATACATAAGGATACATAAACAACAGATGTATTTTTAACTGTGTATTATTAACATCTCCCCAGTCTTTCCAAAACAAAGAGTTAAATTACTCCAATACAGTGCAGGAACTCCAAGACTCTGACAGGGATGATGTGCCCTGTGCACAAAGTCTGAATCCTTTATCTGCTGGGAGCACTTTCAGCCTGCACATTGCCCCCTGTAATACCAGGCACAACATCCAGCACAGAAATTGGTTCTTCTTGCACAAGGCAGAGAGAAGAGCATTACTAACTCCCAGTGCACAAACTGCTTTAGCAAGGGCGAGAAATTTGGCTCCTTCTAGAATCAAAGCAACAAAATAAAACATAAAAAACAAGCCCATTGTGGAAAACTCTGTACCCCTTTATTAGCTATATGCTACCTCACTCCCCTCTGAGCTTCTGTTCATCTTATCATCTCAATTAAAGGGCCTGGGCTTTGCAAAGTATGCAACATACATCGAACACAGAAGTCACTGCTTTCAATCCTGTCTGCAGTGACAGTGGATGACAAAGTAACTTCAATTAAGTGTGGGTGGGTTAAATGAAGAGGTTTGTTATTTCCTTCAAACACTGCATGGAGAACCCAGCTGTGTCACTTTCTGCAAGTCTCAGAAAAAAAAAAGAGTTGGAAGTGGGCACAGAGTTTCCCTTTAGGCTCTAGCAAATGCCCAAACAAATTAATTCAGATGTACAACGGACAGAGAGCTTTTCATTAGCACGGAGTAAACTGAGCATGTGGCAAGTAGATTAAACAGACCTGCAAGATTGTGCCTGAATACGTTCATCACTTTGAACGCTACTTGTAGGACTTGTCACATTGTGCTGCTTCTGCACACTGGTGGAAAAGTAGCTGAACCAATTGCTGACAGAAGTTCAACAGAGCTCTTAGAATGCAGCAAGCATGCTTGCAACTGCTAAGAGAAAGAGAGTAGTCAGCACACTGCCAGAGCACAAGTGCTGGTGCTTTATGCCCTACCCATAAGCATTTAACATCTTAGAACTTTTCTTGCTGAGGAATGTGAAGGATGTGGGCTATGAGATGGAAACGCAGCTCCCTCCTCAAGGAGCACAACTGGGATCCCTTGTTTCTTTTAGACATACCACCCTACATCTTACTTCTGGCATTCATCCTCCCTATCACACAGGGCATTATGTTAAAGATTTCACTTCCATGGCAAATGTTAAAAAAAAAAAAAAAAAAAAAAAAAATCCTGCATGTGCTCTTTTCACACATACTTCCTTAGCTATAAACACAGAAGCAGAACTGATCGTCACAGGAATGCAACACTTTCTTCCCCTTCCTCCTCAGCACAAGATTTCTGTAAGCACAAAGTAGAGCAAGCTACAGCCAACACATTAATTTGTCTCTAGCTCTTTTCAGAAAGTGTAAAATCTGACTTGTATCATACAAAAATGATACTACTTCTCAGGTCACAGGCTTTGTCTCAATGAAGACAGATGTACAAATGAATAAACACAACTTTGGTACCATGGTCTTCCATTGCAAGAGAGGTTACGCGCTTCTGTGACTAACAGTCAAGAAAAACCACGCAGTAGAGTGCACACAGCTTAAAGGAGGCATGTCTTTATTTAACATTCAGCTTCTTAATTTACAGCTATCTTTTTTGCAGCTGGAGACAGGAGGGAAAGGCAAGATTCCCAGAAAAATCAAAGACAAATTTAATTACAAGCAACTTACCAGCATCCATTGTTAGAATCATGACCCCACTTCTGTGTCCCAGGAAGCAGGAAGCCTTACCCATCCAGTGCATGCGAATGACTCAGAAGGACTGCATGGCTTTGTTTCAGCTTATATCTTCCAGCTCATTCACCCCTCCTCCCCCGTGTGGGATAAAAGTGATGCCTGTGCCTGACCATCCCCATTGGCTCAGTTCAGAAGCCACTCATTCAGCACATTCAAATTGCTGTGAGAGCCTAAAATGACCCACAGAGAAATTCTTATTTATCATTTTTCAACCCAACCCACTTTTTTTCTTCTGAGAGAACAAGCCATTCATTGTTTCACTATCAGACACATGCCACAGTTGGTGTAATTGTCATGGAGCCAAATAATTGCCTGCACTCTGAACTGGGAGAGGTGGGCAGCAGGGAGGCATCCCCCAGCCCCAGTTCCACGGCGCTGGCTGCCTGTGGAAGTAAAGACATATGTTTTATGCCACAGCCTATGCCCTCCAGCCCAGCTCCTCTTCAATGCAAACTACACACACCCCCAGACAGAGGATCTCTGGTTTGTCAGGGAGGATTTACTCATTCATTTTATTTTTAAACAGGAGGATAGCTGTCTTACTGAAGAAGCAAACCCAAACTCTATAGGTTAAACTTTGCAGTAAAGAAAGGGTTTTATTTATGGTTTTTTTTTTTGTTTGTTTGTCTGTTTGTTTGGGTTTTTTTTTTGTTTTCTTTTTTAATCTGTAGGATTTCTTAAACATATTAGCTGGTATGAGCTTGGCTCTACCCAAAGAATTTGGAAAGCTGTTACAATCTATTTGTTAACCACCACCCCAGTGAGACAATGCAGTCTAAAAAAAACAAACCATATCACAACGTAAATGCAATTCTATCTGATTAAGAGACATCTCCGTCTTTTGTTAACTTTGATCATACAATAAGAGAGACTAAAAACATGCACATGGAAGAAGAGAAAGTGGAGGACATTTGTCTCTGTGCCACGCAATCCTCAAGAATTTACTGTGCAGCTGTGAAAGGCAAGTTCCTGCATCACACAGTGTGAGGTGTTGACAGACACGGTATCTGTGCTTAGAGATTCAACAAACACAGTGAATGAAACACTGGTGTTCTTCATCTTTTGATAAGAACTACCTTTTCCAAATAAAGCATGGACATATTAGGCTGCCATTTCACCACATTAGTCACCACTAGATAACCTAAGATTCATAACTGTGATACAACCACAAGTGTATTTTGGAAGTGTTGCTTGTGCTTGTTGAAATAAACAGAGCTCCCTCTCCTCCCCTCCTGTTTTTAGAAAAGGTATCAGTTGCAAGTCTCACACACTAACGTTTGCAATGCAATAACGAATTCAGAATCCACAATTCAAAGGAATTAGCAAAAGCGTGATAACTGAGTCATCACTTCTTAGATTTCTTTACCTTCCCTTGCTTTGCACAGCTCCACAACAACAGCCTTGAGTCATCACAGTCTGGGGGAAACAAAATATTCCTACACACAAAGATTTCTGATGTTTTCAGTGGGACACCGCAAGAAAAGTTTTGGAAAGAGGCATGGGTAATTCAGATCCTAGAAAACAAATCCAAAACCTTTGCTTCTTGATCTCTATTCACTGAATTTCTCAGGTAGACAGATTGCTCCTCAAAAACTTTCTACAAGGCTTCTGTTTTCAGAAGGAAAGCCAGATTAGTGAACCAGTCATTCCATCCAAAGTTTACAGCTCTCGAATTGATCATAATCAATAGCCAAGGACATAGGGCAGCAATCATTGCTGTTAAAATATCACAATGATCTGGACAAACCAACCCCCCCTTCAAACACTGCGAGCCCAAAGCCTGAGAGAAACCCTATGGAGGAAAAAACTGGTTCTTACCCACAAAATACAAAGCGAATAGTGAGAGCCCCCACACTTTGTACCTAGACACCAGGCTAACCCAGTGCTAACACAGGCATCTTCAGGCAAAGCAAGAATGAAAATACAACAGGTACCACACCAACTGCACACAAACCAACAAACCACTCTCAAGAGGATTAGATTTTCTGTATGCTTAGTTTTTGCAAGAAGCCCAGTACTACTGTTCTACAGCAGTAAAACACAAAAGTTCAGACAAAATATTCTTAAAAAAAAAAAGTTTTCCACAGTAAGAAATTGTGAAATACTGCCTGGTATTATTGCTTAAACAGCCTACTTCTGCTTACTTTCAGAAAGCACAGTTGAGAAATGTGAAGTGAATATGTTTGTACTAAATATTTTCTAAGGAAGTTTTACACAATTAGTTGTATTCAGAATTGCCAAGATTCAATTCATTTTTCATGACCATGCATGTCTAATCTTTTGGGAATCGTGGTCAAGTTTCACTTTTCTATTGCAAGCCTTTCCAACTTGTCAAGCTCTACAGCACATATGAGTGTACTCACTGTCCTCAGGCCTCCTTTATTCCAGCCTTTACTCAAACTTCCACTCTTTACAGCATGTTCTCACTGCCTTCAGAAGCTATGGCAAGTTGCAAGAAAAGAGTTCTCTCATAGTTTTGGAGCTACATCTAAAACAGTACCCAATGCACCTTTGAGAAAAAACAGAAGCTACCTGTTGTGAGAGAAATAGTGGGGCCACAGCTCTTACCAGCCATTATAACCATAATTATACATCACTTCTGTTTTAGGAAGAATCATGACAGGATTTTCTATCCATTATTTTGCTGATATAAAATAGTGATGTCCTGCTGATCATCTCCAAGAAATCGTGTCTCTCTACTCACAGTAACTATATAACTTGCAAAGAGCAAGTCTAATCCGATGCTCTATACCAGTCAGGAGCTGCCTTTATGGAAGCAGCAGGACCTGATACACATACAAAAAAGGTCCCTTTTGTTCTTTGTTTGTGTGGGGAAATGCTTTCCAATTTTCTACAGGAAAAACAACCGTAACACATATGAAAGATCTGGCTGGATTAAACAGCACTTCAAGCTTTCAAATAACAGAGAGTTGAAATGTTTTTAAAATGATACATATCAATAGCTTTACACTTCCAGAGTGTTTTGCAAACAAAAGGCATTTTCTCTGTTGGTTTTTATCTGAGTTCCCAGAATGCCTGTCCTCTATTACAGATATTACAGTGCTACAAGTGAAGAACTCATTTCTCTTCAGTAAAGGGGAATGACATATGAAGGTGAAGCAGAAACATTCTCTCACCCCACAGTTTGCTTTCAAACAATGTCAGCACAGAGAACCATGGGCCTATTTATAATTTTAGCTTTCCAAAAGAATCAGTTCCTCAGTATTGCAACGCAGGGATGACACCAAAGCATAGTGCTGAGCACAACTAAACAAGGCTGGCAACAACTCCGTTAGTCCTTTCATAGAGCAGATCACTAATGCCTTAACACTACGTACTCAAGTCACACAGCTGCAGCCTGCTCTGTGATGGCTGGAGAACTTGTACCAGACCTCACTCATTACAGACGAATCTATAAAGCTATTTATATTTAAGAAAACAACATAAAACCATAAAACTCCACTTGGCAGGACCAGATTCAAGCCTCTTAGTAGCCAAGAACCAAAATAACTGAATTAAGTTGCAAATGTATCTCAAAACTGTAGGGCTTGAAAGGGACCTCCAGAGATCATCAAGTCCAAGCCTGCTAAAGCAGGTTCTCTACAGTGTACAACATAAAGGGCAGACTACAGATCTGTGACTGAAATGTTAGATTTGATACAAATGCCATTAAAATGGTTGAAATTATTTTAACACACAATTGGAAAAGGCAATGACAGGAAGGCTGGAAGAAGGGGTCCATCTCAACTGCCTGCTGCCTATTCATTTAGGTGAAGTTTTGGGAACACCTATTGTCAATTTCACATTGAATTACATTTCACCTTAAAGTAGCAGCAGCATTTACAAGGTATTTAAATACCATTTGTCTTTCCTGAATGTCATAAAGGCTACTCAGGAATCTGAACGGTTACTTATGCTATACATTACACAAGTATTAGGAGGCATATGTGGATTCTTCTTTAAATGTTTGGTACAAACTCTAGGAAAAAATAAAAAAAACTAAAAAACCAATCACCACTACCACCACCAACAACAAAGCCACAGGTCATGGTTCAGATCAGCACACTTTTTTTCAGCACAGACATACCTTAAATCCCAGTCATCCAGGCCTTACTCTCCAGGTAGATCTGTATCACCATGACCAAGACAGTCCTCCTCCTACAAGAAATAAACACAAAGTGTGGGTAAGAACCCCAAACGTACATCCCAGGGTACGAAAACAACTCTAGGCAGTTGCACAATACAGGAATGAGAGCAGTTTATATTGTTACCTCATTCATTCATATGGGCAAGATCATCAGCACAAGCAACACTTCTCAAAGTTTATCTACTGACATACTGCAGTTATGTTCATATGGAAAGAGAGGTTTTGCATGATTACCAGGAACCCTGAGGAACCTGAGCCCTCAGTTAAAGTCAGTCTTTGACATGAGACACATTCATGAACCACCAATTTCTCCAGAAACGGAGCTTTTACTTCACCACCTCACAGAAAGCAGTCTGTGTTACATCTTTCAGTAAGGTCAAGCAGCACTGAAAACAACACGAAGATCGCGTCGTCTACCACAAGACTGTTACCCTCACAGTCTTCCATTTTTACCTTAACGTATGCAACTGGAACAGCCAGTTCTCCTCCCAGAGCCATGGTGACTGGGATACAGACTGGCAGCCTCTGCCAGGGGAAAGCACCAGCCCAGTAAGCAGGCCTGGGCTGCCCGCAGTGCTCACCACAGAGCCTGCCTCCTGGTCCCCACATCTTCAACCACAGCTGCTTGTGTTTGCTTTGATAAATAGAAACCATCTCCAGCTCTGCCTGTAATGCAAACTGCTGCCCTGCCTGGTGACTTTGCCCGTGTGGAGATTTGTGTTGATGCAGCATCCGAGCTAGGTTATTTCAAACTAGTTGAACTATCCTGGCACTGACCTGTCCTTAAGGATGCCAACCCTTGAACTCATTAAAAACCCACAAAAATCAACTGCTCCACACCTGCTACTTTATTTCCTACCACTAAAGTGGCAGTTTCTTCCCAAAGAGAAGAGCCCTACGTACTGACCTCCATGAGGCACCACCTGTGCTGAACAGACTGCTGTCTCCCTTCCTGTAGCAAAGGATAAAAAAACCTTATTTTTACTCCTGTGGGGTGAGGCTCAGCTCATCTGCATGTTATTCTTAGCTGGCAAATACACTGCTCAAGTCCTTCACTTCCACAGTCACTTCATTAAACTTTCTGTTTTAATCAAGTAAGAGGCATAAAATGAAGCCATGATACTCCGAGCAACCAGAACAACAACTGCTCAGAGCAGTCAGATCACTGCCCTGCATCCACTGCAGCTGCTGAACATGTCAGACACTAATAACAGCATCTAGAGAAGACGTCAAAGCAAAAATAATTCACTGAAAAGGCAGAAAGACAGACAAGACAGGAATTTTGCTTGAGTTCAAAAAAATTCTCATTTTCGAAAGCAAATAAAAAGCCCCAGTATAGGCTATTTCAGAGTCCATAGGAACAGGAAAGGGAGCAGTTCAGCTTGCTCCAAATGTTATGTAGCTGTTAACACATTTTAATTAATTCCCTTTTCACCATCAACTCACATTTACACTCTTATTTTGGAATAAACTACTCGAAAATTCCTTGAATATGGCAA